ATTTACTAGTATATATTAATATTTTATCAATATTTCTAAGATCTTGTTTTCTGTCAATGTAAATGATTGTATAACCATCAGTTCAATAACATTTTAATTTTATTGGTCTTAATGGAACATTCTTTCATTATATAGCAGTAGTAAATACTTTGTGAGTAGTCGTTAGTGGGTAAATGCTTGCTAATGTATTGTCGAAGCTTTTTTGAATAATTTATTGGGGTTATCCTATGACAGAGCAAAACGTAAGAAGAGCTGGATGATGTCTGTCCAGCAGAAAAACGTATATCTATACATGGACCAAATTTCTCAAAGGAGAACCTTAGCATTGTTTAAAGTAAAGAGAGAGAGGTGGGGAGAAAGACGAGTGTCAAAAGAAAGAAGGACGAAGGAAGAGAAGGTGTCACACTAGATTGTCTTACGATATTTTTGTTGTTGTTGTTTTAATGTATGAGTAAGAGTTTAGTAAAGAATGCTGGAGAAGAGAAGTTAAATTCTCTTGGAATTAAATCTCTTGGAAATTAATAAAGTGCCAGTACATATTAGGGATACCCCAGTCACTAGATACCTGTAGAGCTGTGATGGGTTGTGGGATGCAGCATCTGCAGTATCTGGTGTAAGGCCTAGGCTGGGAGGATGAGAGACCACAGGGCTCCAAAGGCCAGTGAGTTCAGGAGCTGGCCAGCACAGCACAGCCTTGGGGATAGGAATGTATCCCCGTGTTCCTGTTTCTGCACACTCAGTTAATTTGGTTATTGAGAAAAAATAACGTCTGCTCCTATAACTGGCACAACTTTGTCAGAGTTGTTTATTTTCTTCCTCTGCCACTTCATTTGCTGCAATACTTTCAGGCCCATAGCAGCTGGGGAGCTGGCTGTGAATTACTGAATGGTATGTCCTCAAGGGAGAAATAAGGAGAGCATTTTCTCCTGCCTAAGCAGGAATGGACTCAACCTTGCTTCCTCTCTCCTCTAGTGCACTGCTGAGGGCATGTGATCATCGACTCACAAATGACGGGATAACTGGTGACACCATAGGACAAATCACCAGCAGAAAACAAATGTGTGAGCAAGACATGAAAGATGCTTTTATGCTGGAACAGCAAGAAACCCATTAAATGAAATAAATTACATGCTGCCAGGGTGATGACTCACTGTCCTATTGAAAAAGGCAATATTTTGGGGTGAAGGAAAAGATAGCGTCGTATGACACAGAGAGGCTCAAAATAATGAAAAACTTTTCTTTCTGACTCGACTGTGCCTATTCGGATCGGAAGACAGAGACTTCCAACAACACTCAGTAAAGTGCATGTTAAAAAAATGTGTTAAAATATTGCTACTTAGAATATCCTCTCTAGAGTGAATGTCCTCTTCTAGGATATATTACAAGCAGCGATAATCTCTAACAAAGACCAAAGCCCCAATCAGAGACATTCCTTATTACCTATTGTCACCATCCTATCCTTATTTTAAGGAATTAAAGTTAAATATCAGTTTGTTTATGGCAAGTGCTTTGGAATACAGTTATAGAGTGGTCCATTCATTCCTTCATTTATTAGTTAAATATATATCGAATGACTTCCATGTATGAGGCATTAGACACTTAGTGAACAGGAGACATGTCCCGTGGCCTGATGGGCTATGGCCCAGTAGAATAATAAGGTAATATTTATTGAATACTTTTGTAGTGAACATTTCACATGCACAGTCTTATGCAACCCTTCGGTAGCCCTATGAATTAGGCATTCTTTCCAAATTTTGTACATGAGGAAAATTTGAGTCAGAGGTTGAGTAACTTGCCCAAAGTTGCAAGCTAAAGAATGGTTGAGCCAAACTTCAGACAAGATCTGGCTGACTTCCCCGATCTTTTTTGAGTATGCCTTGCCGCACGTTCCCATATACTGTGGCTGTTATCTGGGAAGGAAATGTTAAGTAACATCCTTAACCTAGAAAATTCTTATGTATTTTGTTTTCAACTTCCTGAAATCACTTGCTCTGTGCGGACACAGCTAATCTGCCTTTAGACCTGCTCTCCTCTTTTCCAGACTACCTGTAAAGTCAGTGAGATAAAAAGACCCAAATCTCACTTACGTAATTCATCAAAATCAAAAATCTAAAGAATACTCTCACGGTAATTATTCTTCGTTTTTACCTCTTTTTACCAGATTCTCTTTCTGTCTAGTCAATGCTCCTTCTTTACAGTCAATACCAAAAGTGCAGCAGCATCCCTTGCTCTTAAAGTTGAATATCTTTATTATTTAGACTTCTTGAATTATAACAGTTTATGAATTGGTAAATTAGAGCTATTTAAAATCCAATAATTACTGTCACATTAAACTGTATATGCTTTACAATCTGAAAAATGTTTACACATATATTATCTAAGTTAATCTTTGCAAAAATGATTGTCTGACATAACAGTTCTGGCATTGTTTCTCTGCTTGCTTTTTCTACTTTCCTTCTCATCAAAGGAACTCATCCTAATTAGTGTGCATAACTCAGTGACAGGAATTAGAAGCCAACAGGTCAAGAAAGGGCTTAAATGTTCATTTTTTGAGACAAACTTTTAGGGACATGAACAATGTGTATAGGTTTCAATAATTTTCATTTCGGTCTATATTTAGATACTGATGATACCATACGTCATCAAATAAAAAGCTAAAAATCCTTCCATAGATATTTAATTGATTTCCCTGCCTCCTGAAGGAATTTTTCTTCATTCTTCACCTTTATTTACCTGCATATTTTTCTCTCTGATCAGTCCTGCTTAATAAAAGAAATTAAATTAAATTAAAATTAAAAGTCCAGACAATACAATCTATGCAGATGTGTAGTTCTCACCTTCTTGCCTATGTTCAAAAGAAAGAAATTGGTTAGAAAAAATCCTGGCATTTAAAAATTATATGTTGAATATCTTTTCTCTTGCAAAGATATTTTAAATATGTCCTGTTGCTAATTTGACCTATATCCACTATGTTTTCTCCAAGAATTCAACTCAACTTTTTCTAGAAATAAATGATTTTTGCTGCAGAATAATCTATACACCAAAAAGGAAAAAATATGTTTATCCTGACCCACATAGCACCACTAAATATTTTTACTAGTCACTGCAAAGGTAGAATTCTGGGAAATTGTGGGGGGAGAAATCGCCTTAAAATCCATTACAATGAAAAAAAATAAGTAGGATCCAGTGTTTTTCTTTTAGCATGTTACAACAATGCAAAAAATCAGTACCAATTTATTTTTGCTGTTTTAGACAATGTTTAAATATACTTTTATACTGAGATTTATAACATTAGGTATTTTCCTTTCAGAATTGCTTTCATGCTCTATCTTAATTTATATTTTACACTCAATTCTGTGTCATGAGATTTTTCTGTGCTATTATATATTCTTAGAAAACATGATTTAATGTCTTTTCAAATTGAAACTCCTATGGTGTCCCATTTGCAGAGGGCTCTCTCTAATGTCCTGGGACATGTTGCTGTCAAGGAGTTCCAGTAAGAAGTAGGTGGGTTCTGAGGCCACCAAACGGCTTAGATCTAAGAGTGCAATACTTCCACTGTGACGCCCTGCCTACCACGTCAGACCCCCAATCCCACCATGATGTATTTTACAAGGCTTTTATTTAAAGTGATTAATACGTTTTCAAGTTTAATAGCATATAGATCCAAACACCTTTCTCATTGCACTGACTTGTGTACACATATGTGTTTCCATTGACATGTAAACTTCTTATGGGCAAGCAAGCTATGTCTTTCTTTTTGATTCCTTTACCTATACACTTGGTCACAGAGGTGGATTTATCACGAGATGATTGAAACTTGAGTCATTGGACCTCTCACTTACACGAGGCTGTTCCAAGGCCCTGGGTGAAACCTCACCAATGTAATCACATAGTCATAAGTTTTTGCAAAATTTATAAAAGCAAGATATTTTCATTAGACTGCTGCATGGTTTTGTAGCTTAGTTTATATTAGTAATGTTATCTTCTTGTCCTTGAAGATGGCTCTCCAACTTGTGAAGATTTGACCCCAGATTCTCCATTGCCGACATATAAGAAGCAATTATTTGCATTTTGTTGAATGAATAAATGAAAGAAGTGAAGGGGGGAACGGGAATGAGTTTATTATTAATCAGTATATTTTAACATTTAAAAATTAGCATTTCTGGCAAAAAGATGCCACAAGCCACCAACAGGTAATGCTAACCTATCACCCTTGGATAATGTCAATGAGTTTATAGAGCTCTTATACAAACATGTCTTTAATTGAATCTACCAGCCCTTCAAATAAATTTAATCTTCAATTAAAATCATTGATATTGAAATGTTTGCAACTGTGCTATTTGTAGAAACGGTATTACTATACTCAATTGTTAGAGAGTTAAAAACTGAGAGCCAGCCCTGATGGCCTAGTAGTTAAAGTTTAGGGCACTCTCCCTTGGTGGCCCAGGTTGGGTTCCTGGTCATGGAACCACAAGACTCTCTGTCAGTAGCCATGCTGTGGCAGTGGCTCACATAGAAAAACTAGAAGGACTTACAACTAGAATATACAACAGTTGTACTGGGCCTCTGGGGAGGGAAAAAAGACAGAGAAAGACTGGCAACAGATATTACCTCAGGTTGAATCTTTCCCAGTAACAGCAAAAAATAATAAAATAAAATATTTCTCACTCTCTTCCCTTTAAAAAAACCCAAAAAACGAAAACCTGAAACATACCAATTGAGTGACTTGCTCATAGTCAAACTGTCAATACTGGAAGGCAGCTGAAGCCCTGATACTGAATCTACTCTTTTCATACAACATAGTGTTTACAAATGTTTTTAAATAAACTAAAACTTATTCTGTAATCAAGGAACATAAAATAAAATAGAATTGATAATGCTGTGACCTCAAATGATGAACATTTACCCTTCCTTTCCCTATGCTTCTTTTTTTTCTTTTCTTTGCTTTTTTCTTCTCTTGCCGGTTCTTTTCTTTCCTCCTTCTTTTCTTGATACAGGTGTTAAATATTATCCAACTGCCATAAATCTAAAGCTTTTTTGGAAAATTGAACCTAACCTCTACTGAACACAAGATGAAAATGTGGTTGCTGGTCAGTCAGTTGCTTGTGATAATATCTTTTACAACCTGTCTATCAGGTAAGAAATATCCTTTACATAGTCTCCACAAATTATGTCAATATAATCAATATGTGTGTTCACTTCATTAAATCTGGGATATGAAGTTAGAATTAATATTTTCTTTTGACACTTAGGCCAGACAAGTAAATTAATACGTCAAAGTTGACCCTATTTTCTTTTATTTTTACTTTCAATTAAGATTTCACAAATAAGATTTTAATCTTATGCAGTGGTGTGCTGATAAATGTTTAAAATCTGCATCTCTGGGAGGAAAACAATAAGCCCTCCTGTATAGGATTTGTCAATTTCCAGGGAGTAAATGTTCCTACTATGGCCAATTTCAACTTGACATCATTTAATGTGGTGTTGGAAAAGATATGCAACAGCTCACCATTATAAATATTTTCACCATATAGATAAAATAGACTTAAATAACCTCAATAGCATAAATAAAAGTAAAATGTAGTAAAGTAATTAGAAAGTAATGGGTTTTTAGCATTTGTTACTTTGTTCTTTATTTATTTGCAAGTTATTACATTTTAATTTTTTATACTGGCTGGTCAATTTTATGAAAAACAATTTAAAATAATATACAGTGTGTGCAGGGACATTAAGAATACCAAAGCAGTTTTAAGAATGTTAGGGGCTGGCCCAGTGGCATAGGGGTTAAGTTCAGCATGCTCTGCTTTAGCGGCCCGGGTTCGTGGGTTTGGATCCCAGGCATGAACACACACACCACTTATCAAGCCATGCTGTGGCAGCATCCCACATACAAAATAGAGGAAGATTGGCACAGATGTTAGCTCAGGGCATATCTTCCTCAAGCAAAAAGAGGAAGATTGGCAACAGATGTTAATTCAGGGTCAATCTTCCTCACCAAAAAAGAAAAAGATTACTCTAGTTTTAAGACAAATACTATATTTCTGTCTTTCAAAGACAAGTATGAAGGATTCAAAGATATTTCCTACAAGGAGAGGTGCATTGTATTTTTACCTGAAAGCAGCATGTTTTCTAACAATCCATTTTTCTACTACTTTCATCTCAATTACCTTAACTCAGTAAGTACTTGTTGAGATGCTATTAAGTTCAGGACATAGATGGATGTCCTCCTGTCATGTATCACTCCCCATTGATCGCTTTGATGATGAACTTGAAGGACATCATGTTGTACTTTGTATTTATTATTGAGGAAATAAAAATGCTATTTTATTTTGGGGAGTAATTTTTATTATGATGACTTCAGAATCCAAAAAATAGAATACTTTCATCAGTACTTAATAATTTTAATGACCTTGTAACAACCACAGTAATTACACACACACACAAACACATACGTATATATATAATACATGCATATATATACATATATGTTATGAAATATAATAAAATTTTTGTGGTAGGGTCATTGTGGTTGTCTTATTTTTACGACAAAAATGAAACAAAATAATATTATTAGTACTGAAAATTCGTAATAATTCTGTGGATGACAAATTTTAGTGCTATAACTGTAAAATGCAAAGACAAGAAATAAGTATCTACAGAGATGTGATGATACTTCAACCTGTGTAGTAAAGGGCCAGCAAGCTCACTCATTTCATTAACTAGTATGTCAGTTATTTGAGTAATGTTTGAAACCACCTACTTGAAGAGCTGCTTTGAGATTAAAATTGTTTTTTTTTTTTTCATTTTTAGAGTTCACCTGGCACAGAAGGTATGGTCATGGAGGTAAGTTGGTGAAAGGGTAAATTTTTAAAGCAGCTTTTCTCAAATGAATCACATTTCATCTCTGCTTTAAGCTATTAACTCTAAACTTAAAAGCAATGGTTAATGTTAGATCACTTGGAAATTTTGTAAGATGGTTTATCTGGGGTCATAAGACAACTTGTTTCATTACCAAAATGAATGAATGAATACACACAAAGAAATATCCTATTGCAAGATTGCAACAGATGGAAAATATTCAGTGTGGCTGTATTTTTTTCTGCATGCTTTGCAACAATCCTATGCTACTAAATTTTGAAGCAGTATTTTAAATATTGTAAACCCCTAACTTATATTTGAGAGCTTCTTGCATTGTTGCAAAAGAGAGCACTAAAGTTAATGAACTTGGAACCTTAAAATTCAGCTTAATTAGGAGTCCAAAGGACTCCTAAAAATTAGGAGTTATTTTTAATGATTTATTGAATATAATTAGCAATGGTCCTAGTTTAGATTGTACTTCAACCGCTGAACAGATCTTGCCAGAAGTAGAGCCGGTAAGGCATACTGGAAAACGTAGAATCTAGAGTAAAACCAGCATGAATTTGCATATTCAACCTGGTCTTCATTAGCTATGTGATCTTGTGGAACTTATTCAACTTCTGTGAGCCTTGACTTTCCAGTATGCAAAAAATCACAGGATACTTGTGAGGACTAAAAAAAGAGTGTGAGGTATCTTCTAGCACAGTGACCTACATAATAGTTGCTCAGTGAAGATAAGTAAAACTGGTAACTTATAAAAGCCACTGCATAGTGGTAGGAGAATGAATAATCAGGAAGAATCATTTAGCAACCAAATGCTGCAACTTGCTGCCAAATCAAGGATGTTCATGCCAGATTGGGTCAGAAGAACTTCCACTTGTGACTGTGAGGATTAAAGGAAAGGAAAGTCTTATCCTGAATCCCACCAGTTATTTCTGTTTCCACCTTGTGAGTTATGAATCACTACTTGAAGGCTATATAAGGATCAATGAGATATGTTCCTTGACTTCAAGAACCTTACCAAATAATAAGGAATAAGAAAAGTAAGTAGGTAACAAATTTACAAGAAAAATATAATAAGCACTTTAAAAGAATTACTTTGAGGAATTAAGGAATATTTACTGATGGGGTAGTAGGAAAGGGAAGCTTGAAGGATTTCAAATGTTAGAAATGGAACAAATTCTACACAGAAAAAATGGCACAAACAGAAGTACAGAACGTGGGAACTATGGGCTTTGAGGTCAGAATTTCAAAGGAATTCTGCGGGATATTAGTAGGATTTACATTAAGAAGGAATTCATTGTCAAATAAATTTGGGAAAGCCTCGCTCATTAAAGTTCAACAGTTTATTATTAACTTTAATAAGTATTTATACTACCTATATAACAAGTAAGTGTAATACATGTATTAGTTTCCACGTACTGCTATAGCTATAACAAAGTACTACAAACTGGGTGGCTTAGAAGAACAGAAATGTATTGTCTCACAATTCTGGAGGCCAAAAGTCCAAAACCAAGGTGTTGTCAGGGCCCTGCTCCCTCTGAAACCTATACGGGAAGGCTCCTTCCTTGCCTCTTCCGGCTTCTGGTACCCTAAGACATTCCTTGGCTTGTGGCAGCAGACATAGTCAGACATGAGGTAGGAGTGAGAAGATGCACAGACAGTTATGCAAAACACCGTCTAGAGCCTCAGGGGTGGACCATAAGTCAGGGAAGTGGTTGCTGTCAAGAGATGTGATAGGCTCTTCTTGGGCAGGTAAAGCCAGACAAAGGAAAATTTAGTCAACTCAACCTTTCTGCAAACCTGAGCCTGGTCTTCATTCTAATAATTGAATTGCTGCATGTTCTTGAGACCAACTCTTTTACATTTTAGCTATAGTAAATTACTGCAATGTTACCTATTACCCATGAGCCTAAGGGATTGGGGCACCAGAATACAAAAAGTCCAAGCCCTCAATAGACTTTGAATATTCTTATCAGTGGGGAATGGTTAACGTTAAAGACAAGGGGCTGTGCTGCCTGGAAGAAGGATGCTTTGAGACAATTTAAATATTGTCTCTTTAAGGGAGTTTATTGTATTTCAAGAAAGATTGTAACACTACCCATCCCATAACCACTGTAACATTGTAAATATTGTAAAAATTCCAATGTTAGACTCTGTTCAAATTTTGTTGCCATTGCTTTTTTCTAATAGATTTTTTCCTTGAGACTGTTTTTACAACATACTTATATAAAATTATCTTTAGTAACTAACAGATTGAGATGACATGTTACAGAATGAGAAATAGAATTTGTTTCAAAATGGATATAAAATGAATAAAAAATAACTCAAGCACAAATCATAATTATACTTCAACTTCCAGAAATAAAATAGAATAGCAAGATTACAGTGGACCGTCTCCACGTAGTGAGAGGTAAAGTGAGCCCATTTTAGATCAGACAGCCAACTGATTATATTAATCGCAAAACTGAGAATGGGACTGAAAAAAACGGTAGCCTTTGCCTGTCACTCATATCTGCAAATTTGACAGTATATATTCATATCTGATTTTTTTCTTTCTTGTTAATCTTCTTGATCAAATTTAAGAAATGAACCAATTTCTGCAATAGATTTCCACTATATGATAGAAGATAAATTAATTTGCATTAAGAGCAGATCAAAAGACAGAATGATTTGAAGTGTTGTCTTCAATTAGCTTAAGTCATCTATGATTTTGTGCTCATTTAAACATAATACCTGTTTCTTGTTTTTTATGCCCTTTAATCTCATAATATTTCCAAAGCATCATAATTCGTCATCTAATTATTTCCATGTTTCTAGAAAAAAGCAAGAGATATCTCCAATTTTTGTTGGCTGAGAGTATATGCTTGCATTGATGGGTCCTTTACTGAGACATGTTCTGTTCTCCTTGGAAGTTCTTTTCCCTTGGTCTGAGCACCCTAGTTGAGTTAACAGTGATGAGTTCAGTATTCTTCAAGGGGGTTATGATGTTTACATTCAGAGTTTCACACTGAACATGCCAAAGCAATTCAGAGGCTTGTTTTAAGTAATCTGATTTTCAAGGGTCCAAATATGTTCTCAAAATAAAATGTATAGAGTAATTGTTAAACCATCTAATGAAATATATTATTTTATTCAAGCTTGAACATTTTAGAAAAGCAAGAAAGATAGATTTATAAAATAATACTTACCAGAAATACTAAGGTGATGTGAAATGTGTCTTATTCTGCTTTTTGATCTAGAAAATAGGCAAAGGGAAATATCTTAAATGTAATATTTCCTCAAATTGAAAAAATAAATTCAAAATCTAAATATTTTGTTGGAAATTAGTTTCATATTTTTATCCCCTAAATGTTTCATTATCTGTCCGTATAAAAGCAAACGAAAGTGGAGTATGAGGAAATATATACATAGAATTTGTGAAGACTACTTGTCATTGAGAAGAAAAATAGCATGAGACGCTAATACAGTTTGGCCTACAAACGTCAACACAATTCACCCAAAAAGTGTTTAATCTTTACATATATCCTTTTAAGGGATTGCCTATCAATAGATATAGTCTCCTCATTGTTAGTAGCTGATATTCCATTATTTTCCATGGAAATTTCCATTGTAGGTATCTTTTCTAGAAAAAATTAAACTTACTTTTTTAATACGTATCATCAAGATGAAGAAACTACTTACAACATATCCTCAGTTTTCCAAAAGCTGACCAATTTTTATCTCAAAAGCAAATGCCTTAAAATCAAAAGATATGCTATCAAAAGAAATATTTAAGATTTTGTATTTTATTAAAATATGCAAATCAAACAACTAATCTCCACTTTCACGTAAATTTATGCTTATGGGCATCTATCTTTGTTGTATTTGAAGGCACCATACAATACTTCAAATAATCAAGATGATTCAGAATGACTATAACTCACCATACTTTAGAATGATAAAAGTATTTCTTTTAAGGAAGCTAATGAAATTATAAATTAAATTGAGAATTCAAGATTATTATAATCCCCATAATGGCACTTCCAGGGGGTCACTACAGAAGCAGATGCTAGACAGGCCAGGACTGTCTATTTCTACATTGGAAATACAATAATGTTAAAGAGACTTTAGCTAATGTAACCCTGCACTTGTTAAGATAAGTTCAAATTTTACGAAATAGTATGTGATCACTACGATATTCCCCATTATAAAGAGACATATTTTAGGTGAGTTGAAATTCTCTCCAATTTGTTGCTTGTGGAATGCAAGTTGGAGAAGATCCATAAAAAATCTCTCAACTCTGAAGACTTGAGATTCTCTTAACAATGTCTTTTATAAAACAGAAAATTTTAATTTTAGTAAAGTCCAACTTACCAATTTTTTTCCTGGGTCATGTTTTTGGTGTTGTGTCCAAAAACTTTGCCGTATCCAAGGTCAGAATCAAGTCATTGACTCATTAAGGACAACTAACACTATGTATAGTTCATCTAACTGTAGCCTCTCAGATGACCATTTGAAATTCCTATGCTACCACTGATGTAATGAATGGAAACTCAAGATCCAATCCAGTACAGATCAGTGGGCTTCTGTTTAAACTATAGGCATAATTGCATCAAACGTTCCTTTCTCCTTAAATCTGATTATCTCTTCCATTGGTAATAATATAATGACATAATCATCAGGCTTGTCATATAAATACAATGTCCTTAGAAGATATTTATGAGCTTTAAACTCCCCTAAGAAATATTTATTTTTAGTCTTTTAAATATTTAGTGTATTTTGATTTTTAAAAATTGTTTTAAAAATGTCACACTAAAATCATTATTCATTAGGGAGTAGTGTGGGAAGAAGAGTCATGTTGCCTTCAAGAAGAGAATCTAAATACGTACATAAAATGGCACTTCTCTACTTGTGTTTTTAAACATTTTTATGTGAATTGGGAAGAAACAACAAAATCTCCAGGCCAGCAGGTGTTACTAAATTGCTCTAGTCAGAAAAGCTGTGCAACTGGAGAGACCCAAGCAAGAGCTTATGAAATCATCCAAGTGGGAAGAAAAATAGCATATAGTTTTTATCATGGATAAGCACAGGTCATTTCTTTTGGAGAGTGGAAAATCTAGAATTTCCATTGAAATGAATTGAAATGAAATGAAATTGACATTGAAATTTCAAGTTGAAATTGACATTGAAATGAAAGTCTCTAGATACCAGAGATTTGGGATTCATTTCTCATTTTTCCTTAGTGTGCTGTAACATCCTGAAAAGCCAGGAAATATTGGGCATCATCAGGAAAGTTATTAGAAGCAAAGTAGAAAACATTCTATGTGTTTCTGGCTTTTAAAATCTCAAGAAAGACATGAAACACGCAGCTCAGAGAAGGACTTTCAAAATCATTAGCAGAGAGCTTCTGTTCCCATTCATGATCTTACTTACAGTTGTGGTAAGCTTGTGAGGTCCTTAGGACATATACCCCTATTCCTTTTCAAATGTAGAAGCCATGTAGAGCAAATGGCTTGCATAGCTAGAAAAGGGCATCGCTGGAGCTAAATCTCAATTCCTCTGGTTCCTCTCATTATGATCCAACGATTTATCTGCTATCTCAAATGGGATGATGGTTATGGAATGTAACTGAGGTCTATAAATTCTTGGTGATTTTAGCAAATTCCAACTAAAAGTGAGGCATCTCCCTTCAAAGTATTTCAAGTCAGTTTAGAAAAATTAATGCTTCATACTGGGAGAACCTAACTTAAGGATTTTATTAATCATCTATGTGTGCACAAATGTGTATTGACACAACGCTAAGAGCACTAGAACTACAAGAGCAAATAAAACTTAGCCCCTGGCTTTTAGAAGCTTTATGGTTCATCTAAGAGTTGATATATGTAAGATATATAAATTAAATTTTGAAAGGATTGGCAAATTCATGAGAATGTTGGCAAAATCAGCTCTCATCATCAAGGTTGATGTTAGAGCAGACAAAACATCTGTGTGGCATTTGCCTTAAACTCTCTCTTAAAAAATAAATTGGAGGGGTGAACCATAGCTTTGATCTAGCAGAGACATTCCAATGATCCCATGTAAGAACATTACTCCTTTCTAGCCATACACATCAGTATTAATTCATTCTTAGCTGTGTTCTGTAAATGCTGCTATGGTGATGAAATGTGATTCTCTTCTCATCCTGCTGTGAGGCATTGCTCTTCCCTTTCAGAGAGGATAGACTGTCAGGAACAACTGCTTCCCAATGTGGCTATGTTTGTGATGGATTTTAAACCAGTTGCTCTGATCCTATAAGCATGTAATTTGTTTAGAACTGTTCTAGATGTTGCTGAGTACCAGTGTTGGTCACATATTTAGAAAGATAAACAAGAACTGACCCAGGAAAGAGACTAATGTCTCCGGAGCATCTAGAAATTCGTTCATTCTCTTGTTCAAAAATCATTAACCACTTAGTGTGTTCCAGACTGCTAGTCAGCTAGCTAGGAGAGTGGTGTGTACAGATTATGGACATAGCCACCTGTCCCCAACATTTGCTATCTAGTGGAGCAGAAAGTTTCAACAAGAATCACGGCAGGTGTGTTAAATACTATAAGCTGTAGAGGGAGTTGTGAGAACACAAATGAGGACCAACTGAAGCTAGAAGGGGTGAGAGGTCACGTCCTGAAGGAACTAACTCAATGCCTAAGTCATAAAGGACTGTACAGATTTTCGTAGGAGGAGAAAAGTGCGATGGTGATTACAGAAAGAGGAAAAGCATGTGCAAAGGCTCAGAGGCATGAAGGCATGGCTTGTTTGAGGAGCTGAAAGTAGTTAAGCATGGCGACACAGGGTGCTTTTGGAGAAATGATGAGAGATGGGCAGAAAGGAGTTGTGAATAAAGAACCTAAATGTTTTCCTCAAGATTATGGAGGGAAATGTCTTTGTTTTGAATGAAAATGGAGATTCTGTGTTTCTGACATTTTTTTCAAAGAACTTTCTAAATGTATCTAAATTTTCTTTGACTTATAAAACAGCATAATGTAAAACAATTTTATTTTTCTTGCAGTTTCTGAGGAAGACAAAGGATTTGGACCAATTTTTGAAGAGCAACCAATCAATACCATTTATCCAGAGGAGTCACCAGAAGGAAAAGTCTCACTAAACTGCAGGGCACGAGCCAGTCCTTTCCCAGTTTACAAGTAATGTACTTCACTTCTCTTTTCAGAAAGGAGGGCGAGACTAAAGATTACAGATCAGCATCTATGACCCTGTGCTGATAGAGAAAGATATAATATAAGGCTTTCCACAACATCCAGGGATATTAACAAAAATATTGGCATACAAGTTCTTTTTAAAAAGTTGTTTAATACTCAAATAGATAGCAAGTTTTCTTAAATATATGCAAATAATTCACTTGCCATTTCCTGCACAGATAAAGCCAGTGCCATTTGACATTATCCACTTAAAAATTGTCTAATGGAGACTATACTATTAAGCATGGAAAAGGTTATATGAAATTTGTGCCCTTTTTTTTTTTTTTTTTTTTTTTTTGCTGAGGAAGATTCACCCTGAGTTAACATCGGTGCCAATCTTCCTCTATTTTGTGTGGGGGTTACCATGACAGCATTGTTGCTGACGAGTGGTGTAGGTCTACACCCGGGAACTGAACCCTGGCCACTGAAGTGGAAAATGCCAAACTTGACCACTAGGCCACAGGGCCCGCCCCCATGCACAATTTAAATATACATATTTGAGGATAAAATCGTTTTTGTATGCATTGGCCTGGATAATTCATACCTATAGATGGTGGATAATATTTTTATGTTAACTATATTTAAAGAGCTAGTATAGATAATTCAAGAAAGCAACACTATTTCAATATTCTCAAATATGTATTCCAGACAACACAGAAAATTTATTAAATGTCTCTATCCACTGGACAATCTGTATAAACATACCTCTTTCTGTTTTTCTGGGGTACCTATTTGTGCTATCAAAAATAACTTTATAAAAAGTAACAATGGGTTTTCCTGTTTCTGATGGTCCAGAAAAGTATACTAACAGTTTCTAGTCTGATGCAAAGAATAAGATTTAAAAATTAGCAAAATACCAACGGATTTGAAGTTCACCTGTGAAATGGTTCCATGAAGACAAAGCAAGTGATTGATGGAGAAATTGGGGCTCTAACGTGTTCATGTTACAAGACTTATTTGAAGCTTGTCACTCAACAAGATTGATTTTAATAGTAGATTTTTTTCCTGGATAGGAAAATAACGTTCTATTGTTATAAAAATATTGTTATCAAAGAGAATGCCCCTTCCGTCCAATTTAATTGTAATTGAATTCATTTTTCTCTTGCCTCTGGCTATAATTACAAATTAATCTTAAAATAAAACATAAATTTAGGTACAAAATCACCATCCCTTTGAACTTATTTTTATTGTTTCAATTTCATTCATGGGAGTGCAATATAAGTAGATATTTTATAAATTATGAGTAATACATTTGTTCTGAAAATATTTGATGGGCTAGACTTATTTCTACCCTTAAGCCATACTTAATGAGAGTCTATGCACACAGCCACGGATGTGGACTAGTAAAACTAATAGGGGCTGTGGAGGAGATCTAATTCAAGCACATAATTTCACAGGAGAGGAAGCTGAGCCCTGAGAGCTCAGGGCTAGTAAATCACAGATCCAGGTCTAAAACACAGGTTTTATGACTTTCAAAGAAGCATATAATTTTTTCAGTATGTATCTATCTCGATAGGTTGATACCATCTCAAAAGCTATTTCTGTGACACTCTGTCCTTGACAATCGTACATGGAAACTTAGCAAATCAGCCTCTGCGCTGGAATGGAGGTGACAAGACAAAAGAGATTGTTCTCAGATAGTGTTCTAGACACATGTACTTCTCTTTGCGGCCCCCCCACCACCCCCTCACAGAGACAGTAAGAAGCTAGGTTTGCATAACTAAAATTTTATACACATTGATTAGCAACTCCCTATTTCTTCTCCCTCCAGTCCCTGACAGCTACCATTCTATTCTTTGCTTCTATGAGTTTGACTATTTTAGAGATACCTCCCGTAAGTGGATCTTGTATTTAGTGTTCTTATCAAAATTTAAGAAATAAAAATAAGAAGCAAACTTTTGCTTGGCAAATATATCACCAACTCCCTCCCGCAGGTAGCATCAGCACTGAAGTCCCCAGGGCAGGTGTGGCCCAACTATCCACTCGTTAATGTAGAGAGCTGGAGGGGAGAAGTAGATCTTTACTTCTGTTATGACGGCAGTCTGTGTTGGACAGCAAAAAGAAAAAGAAAAAAATCAGCTCATGATACAGCTTGTCTGATAGAAAAGAACATTTGAAGTTTCTAAAATTTACTTAACATTCAGGTCAAGTCATGCTAACCTTGGTAATCACGCAATTTGTCATTCACACAGTAGTTGTATATTTTGGGCATGTTCTATAATAATTTCTTATTCATGGCAACATCCTGAAAGTTAGGACAGGGAATTTTACCTTCCACTTATCAGCCTTAAGGCTTTCATTATCTTGTCTTGACCCCCAAAATAACAAGAACTCCAATAAAATTGCATTTAAAGCTGTATGAAAAGGATTACAACAATGATGTATGTTCCTGAAAATAAAATAGACCAGTGAACTTACCCAAACACAGCAAAACTTAATCATTATGTGACATCAAAGGCAGAATCAGATCCACGAAGGAAAGTTAAGGAAATAAAAAAAATTTGGAATCAACATAATGGGAAATCTAAACATAACAATTGGAATTGCTCAACAAGAAAACCCATTGCCTTGGCAGGTGCTAAGCAACTTGACATTGGATGGTTCAGAGAGGGACAATTGCCATCAACCGAGGGGAAGGGGAGCATTTATCCATTGGGTTGGAATTTGGTAGGTTTTCAAAATTCAAAAGCACAGTTTTCTGTGTTTGTTTTTAAATTACCTCCTACATTGTAAAAATTAAAACTAAAAATGTTCCAGTAATTTGATTTAATAAAAAATATTCTAAAACCATTAGGCCTTTTTGCCAAGATTCTTATCCTAATCAGAAATGTGCCAGGCAATGAGTGATGCAGCCACAGTCCACTGTTTGACCATGGCTTTGTCTTACGTCATTGCTGAAGACACGGAACCTTAGGGATAACCCCTGGTACAGAATGATTACAAAATTACGCAGGTGGTCAGCTTAATTGAAACCTGTTTTCTACATGCATTCTTCTCATCATCTCACCAAGAAAGTTAGATTCCTGTTTCTAGTCAATTTATTTGCAACAATCTCCATAAATATACCTGCGATAGTTGTTTGTGGCTTGGAAACAAAAGACCCAATTGACTTTCATCATTTTCAAATTGTGATCGCCCTCTAGTGGTCAGAATATGCCATTTACTGAGCAGCACTCTGATTTCAGTTAGTTTGTTTTATTGAAAAAGCACTTTGATTATTTAGAATGAGATACAGTATTTGTCATTTGGGATGCCTCATGAGAAAAAAGGAAATATTTCATGTGCTTGAACATTTACCTTTCTGTGCCTGAGCTAAATTATAAATCATGAGCCCAGACATGTGGAATTGTAGGGTGTGAAGAAATACCACTTGGAATCATCTACTTAATCATCTGACTTCACACGGCTCTCTAGCCATATTATTTTAGAACGATGTTAGCTCAGTACACTGTTTGCAGGCCTCGTGACCTTTGATGTGACATTTATTTTTTTCTCTAATAGATGGAGAATGAATAATGGGGATGTTGATCTGACAAGTGATCGGTATAGTATGGTAGGAGGAAACCTTGTTATCAACAACCCTGACAAACAGAAAGATGCTGGAATATACTACTGCTTAGCGTCAAATAACTATGGGATGGTCAGAAGCACTGAAGCAACCCTGAGCTTTGGATGTAAGCAATCGTAATTTTAAAAAGGGAAAGTGCATTTAGTGTAAGGGCAAGTGTATTGTGAAGTAAAACTTACATGCTATTATAAGAGTTCAGCAAGAAGAAAAATCAAGACAAAAAGAAAGTGAGAGAAAGTGTCCATTGATGAGGTGGGTCTTATGAGATCAGTGGGACTTATCTGTGTGGAGATGAAAAATTTCAAGAGAGCAAAGCATCATGAGGAGTATTATGAATGCACTTGAAGTAGCGAAAGGTAACACTGGAAAATAAACTAAGACCGATGTTCTGAAGGATACTGAATAACTTTCTAAAAACTAATATTAATAGAAATGCTAAGCCATGCATTCTCAATGGGATGGTATCACCCCCAAGGGGTGAAATTGGTTCTTGTGGGAAGAAACCATCTTAAATGTTACAACATAATGGTTTGTGCCTCTCCTAAGCTCAACTCTACCTGACAAAACCTTATTCCTTAGTATTTAATTTCTCTTGTTAGGAATAAGTCAAATTAAAGTAGCTCAATTATTTTAAGTTTAAATTAAATTAAGATTTTTTCCTTATGGGGGCAATAATGAAAAATATTTTGGAAACACTGTGCTAAACTAAAAGTTAGAGGTCGTTCTGAAAGAAAGCTGTGCATTGGGAGAGTGTTGGCTAGATGATCTTCAGTGTGTGATTTCCTAAGTCAGCACTTAAATCTTTTGAAAAATGGATTACAGGATGAAGACAATGTTTTAAGAGGACCCACATGTTAGTGATTACGAGGAAGAAAGGAGACAGGGTCAGGAAGAACAGTCAGATTAAATTAATGTGGTGACAGCAGGGATGTAAATAAATACAAACTTTGAAGAAATAATTGACATAATGCATTGCACTAAAGGAAAAACATGCCAAATTTTTTTTAAGGAAAGTCTAGTCAAAGGGCAGGAACATTCTGATCTGTTTAAAAAAGCGATGGGAGCAAGTAAAACGAATTTCATGGATGAGAGGAAACATTTAAATGGTTGTTTCACGTGCAGAGGTTATGGCGACATTACGTTGTCCACGTCTAAATGTCAACTAAGTATTTGAGGATAGGGATGGCATTCAAGTGAGGCGTCGGGACTAGAGAGGTAGATTTGAAGGGTTCTCTGCAAAGGGTGATGATTAGAATGATGAGTTCTTAGAGCTATACAATAACTTGAGAGGAGTAAAAATTAGATATTACAATTGGAGTAGTGATCGCAGGTGAGAAATAGGAGGTGAGGCGGGACTGAATGAGCACCGGTGAAACAAATGAAGAATCACACAGTAGAGTATCAAGAAACCAAGCAAAATGTGAGTTCCAAATACACGGAAAAGAGTAAAGGAAGCGAGAACGGAGGAAAACTCAGAATTTAAAGAGGAGCAAGAAATTGTTGACCTTCGTGTTCCTCAACCAGGATCTTGCCTTTTATTTTTATTTCTTCTCCACCTTGGAGTCCTCCCTCAGGAAGGGAAATTTATCTTTCAAATGAGTCTGTTCCTCTCAGTCATTCATCCTTCCTTACTTTCTTTGGTAGATCACTGGTTTTCTCTGAGCCCGTTATATTTCCAGATGACTTTTCTTCCTAAATGTGAAACAGAAGTTTGGGATAGCTGTAATGTTCAGGGTTGTCAGAATACTTATGCAGGCTGCTACCAGCATCGGTAGGCTTGAATTCACCACAGAGCTCTTCTCTTTGGGTGTATACGAATCCCAGCATGTAACAACGGGAACTGACTTTCACAGGCTACACCAAACCAGCTGAGAAGAGTTATATCCAAAACTGAGTTAGTAGCTGAAAGGTGAACTTCAATTAATCTCTGTCTTTGAACTGACCAGAGAGTGAAAGCTTTTCTTGTTTCTTTCGTGATTAGATCTCGATCCTTTCCCACCTGAGGAACGTCCTGAGGTCAGAGTGAAAGAAGGGAAAGGAATGGTGCTTCTCTGTGACCCTCCATACCATTTTCCAGGTAACTTTAGTTCCTCTGTGACCGAAAGCTCTGTGAACTGAAATGAGCAAATTTTTATTTACTTAACAGTAATGGTACATGTATAATTAAATAAGACTCAATATTTCTATAGCCTTCTAATGCATCACTTACTAGTGGTTGTAGATGCTTCCTTTCTTGGTTCTTGAATCGCTTGACCCTAATTCCAAAGGTCTATGATCATTTCAGATTATAAACAATATATATGTTGGATTATGTCTTCATTAAAGTTCCTGTTACACAGGAGAAAATATGATAGGTTTTCTATAAATTATTCCTGGAAAAGAACAGTACCTAGGAATGATATATAATCAATCACTTTATTAACAATTTAATTTCTACAATATCCCGTGAACTGTAATTAAACACTAGAAAGGAATAAAGACATAATAAATTATTAATTTCTTTAGGAGCACCAATCTGCAAGAATAATCATCCAGTTTAGCAAGGGGCTAAATTAAGTGTCATCTGTTACAAGATTCAACCTTTGGGAATATATGTTTTCAGTAATTTGATACGACTAAAATAAAAGCCACTGAAGAGCTAATTAAAAGATGAACCCTTCATATACTTTCACTAATTTTCACTTGTTTTATTTATCAAATAGCATCTTGAAATAATATAGTAATGCTTTCTCACTGAAAAAGATGTTTTGTATTCTTATAGTTCTAATATTATGTCATAAATTTGGCTTTAAATACCTCCATAGAGAAAGATTCATAACAGAATGTTATAATTCATTTGAGTGGAATATATTAATCTGGTGTATATATATATATGTATGTGTACATATATATATACACACACATCTCTATATATTGCATTCCAATTATATATGTAAATTCTGAGTGTTTATATATCAAATATTGATAATTTCCTCTCTAATAACTGTAGGAGAAAGACTGTTAATAGATAAATATGGGAGGAACATATGAATTCAAAATGTTGTAACAACCTTTCAATGACAGAACAGTCTTTTTCTTTGAAGAATTGTCAAAACTATGAAAAAAAATCCCCTCATCTTCATAGTATTTCCCACAAAGTAAATGATCATAAATAGCCAATGACTGCACTTGACCATATTCAACACCAGATGGGCTTTATTCAATCACTCATTAGCTCAACAAATCTCTTGTGAACACTTGCTGTATATCAGGGACTATTTATGACACAGAAACACCTTAGTGAGCAAAATAGGAAGAGCTTTCCACCCGCAGAGACCTTCTACTGGGAGAGACAGACAATAGACAAGATAAATAGTTAAAAGATATAGCATGTTAGATATTGATAGTTAAGCACTAGGGAGAAATAAATAATGTGGGGGAGAGGGGAGAATAAGTGTCGAGGGGATGCTTGAACTTTTATAAAAGACGTTACTGAAAATGTAACTTTGAATAAAGGCCAGAAGGAAATGAGGAAGCTAACAATGCAGATGTCTGAGGGAAGACAAGCCAGGCCGATGCAGCATTGTGAGCAAAGGCCTGAGATGGGGCTGTGGAGGAAGAGTAATGAGGCCAAGGTGGCTGAAATAGAGAGAATCTGGTAAAGAGTAGTAAGGCATGAAACCAGAGAGATATGAGAGCTATGTCATATGGGACCTTAGAATTCATAGTAATTACATTGGCTTTTACTTTGAGTGAGATTTACGTTGGAGAGCTTTGAGCAGAGCAGCCACATGACATTGCTTAGGTTATAAAAGATGAGTCTGGCCACTGCCATTTGAAAAAAGACTTAGGAGAGGATAAAGGTGAAGGCGGGAGATCAGTAAGAGGTATTGCAGTGATCTAGGCAGCATATGACGGACCAGGATGGTTGCAGCTGAGGTGGGAAGAAGTGGTTAAATTCAAGGTATATTTTGAGGAAGAGCCAAGAGGACTGGCTGGTAGACTTCATGTAATGTATAAGAGAAACACAGGATGTCAAGGATGGCATCAAAGTTTTGTCACGCGCTGCTGAAAGAATGGAGTCATCAATACCAGGTGGAATAGGTGTGGACATGGTAAGTGTGAGGTGCCTATTAAACTTCCACAAGGAGCTGTCTAGTTGGCAGTTCATATGGGTGTGGAGCCCTAGGGTGTTGTCTGGGCTAGGAATATCAATTTATGATTTGTCATTGTAAAAATTGTTTCAAAACCATAGTACTGCATGTGATTACTTAAGGAATTACTATAGACAGAAAAGGGGAAGAAGAGGTCCAAGGAACAGACTTTGAGATTTTCCTGAGATAAGTCTTGCTTTTAGTCTCTGTGGCATCTTAACTACTGTGTTGAATGAAGAATTTCATGGACCAAGACAAGGTTGGTAGAAGCTTGAAATCATTAAGCCAAAAGAGTTAATTACCTCTTCATCCCAGTAAAGATACATATATCTACATGGTGGGGGGAACTAAGACGGCCTTTTAAATAAGTCCAAGAAACATCTTAATCACAGAATAGAATCTGAACAGCTCTTCCTCTCCTCCTGTCAGTTTGTAATTAGCAGATTATGACCTTTTTGAACATCAGACGTGCCACATTCAATATAAGAATGGCCATATGATTCAAAACCATAATACATATGTGTATTAATTTTACCATCTCCACATCATAAAGCTTCTTCCTCCTAAATGCAGTTAAATTAAGGTTTTGTGCTTTACTTCCTAGAATTCATGGAGTTGAGGGTGGGACGGAACCTTCAGAACCTCTGGGTTCTGAACCTCATAGAATGTTATATATGCAACTATTTATGGTTGTCAAGCCCTCCTGCTCTAGCTGTTGATCGGGTAACCTGGGACTCAGTCCTTTCTATATCAAGTAAACTTAGGCATCTCTACATCTCAATTTCCTTATTTGAAATTTGGGAATAATAATTTCTGCGCCATCTATTCCTCAGAGCTTGTTATGAGTTTTAACTTTAATAACGTATTCAAAAATGGTAAAATGGATATATAATTTCAATGGATTATTATTAAAGTGAATAAAATAGTTTAGTACATTTAATATTTTGAATTCATTATTTTTAAATAAAGCACATATTACTATACAAAAGATTTTTGATTCACAATTTTGGAAATGTTGTCCCTCTCGTTTATGCACAGGAAAAAGATCCACGAGGAAAGTCTCACCTTTCACAATCCATTAACTTTTTCTATGGATTTGGGTGCTCCACAGTTTCTAGTAAAGGGCAAAACTCTGATTTGAACCAGTTTACTTAATTATCAAAGAAAAGTTTTAACTAAGGGTCTCAGTTCAAATGATTATTCAGTTTTATAATAACAATTTGATATCCAACTGATTGCCTAATGCCTAGCACAGGGTAAGTTCTTAACATATATTTGAGGAATGAGGAAGTGAAAGAGTAAATAAATGTGTTCATTAAATTGATGGATGTGTAGTGGTTAAAATTTCATTGAAAGGTAAACTTACCTGTTTAGGTTTTGTTTTATTAAATAGCAATCAATAATTCACGAATGCATACAACTTAAACTCCTCGATGCTCAAAAAGTGAAGACATAATGCCTTATTTCCAGCTAATTTTCTATCAGTATAACCATCAGAAATTGAGTTGCACATCTCACAAAATATAAATCATGTATGTGTATATTGAGAGAAAGAATAAAGAAAAAAAGTCCATCATTTGAAGCATGGGTACTATTGGCGAAATACACAATACCTAATAATAGACATAGGTGTGAACTTTAAAATGAATAAGAAAGTGGGAATACTCTTAAGAAAAATAACTCGTAGCATATTGAATATGATATAGAATGAATCTCCATTCACTTTTGACTAAAAAGGTCAGCATAAAAATAGACACAAATGGGAGACCACTGTAGGGAATACATGAGCCCACAGGATAATTCGGCATAAATTTCTTTCTAAACAGATTTAACACATGGTCTACTGTGGATATCAAAGCACTAATCAAAAGCTATGGTGATGTTATTGGTATAGGTAAATTTTGTTCTATTGAGGTTAATTAAAAAAGAAAGCACAAACATCTTCTAGTAAGTTTGCAAACTATTTGTCCAGGGAATATTAAAGTACTTCAAATATATTTCAAGGAGAACTATACATTATTTAGCAAGGTTAGAGAAGTGATGTGTTCAGAGTAATCCAGTGAAACCAGCCAAATGCACTATAGCTGGCCAGAACAAATTTCCGCTTTAATATGGTCCAGACTCTCTTGAGGCAAAGGGAAGAAATCTCAGACATCTATCAATAAAAGGAACATTTCTGAAACAGGTGCTGGCACTTACTCTTTCTAAAAAATTAATCTTGTAGTAATTTATTATTTAAGCTGGTCAACAATGCTATGAAGAAACAGGTGTTGACTTTTTCAGAGGTGGTTAATTTTACCATCTGTATGGGGTGGGGAAAGACAGATAAAAAGATAATCCATCGTGTCCCTGTGAGAACTGGGTCAGGGCTTAGCTCTTGATTGCCAAAATGGTCTCATTCTTAAGTCAGATGCAGGGCAGCTACCACACCCAATCATGGAGCTGTTTTGGTAGAGCTGGAGTGGAGAGGGAGCTTAGAAAGTTGGTTCTGCCTCCCTATTGCTATACGGCCTGGAGCAAGTCAATAAACCCAGCTAAACCTCAGTGTCCATGTTTAAAAATAGCAATAACAATTCCTTTCTTTGTTTTAATGAGAAATGGTAGCTTCTAACATATTGCAATTATTATTCTGTCAAAGTGAATAGCTTATCAGAGACTAAAATTTGTTAGATAAATTTAGATTAATTATTAATCTTAAATTACAAGTTCCACAAAAGCAAAGACCATATCTGTCTTGTTTAGTGGCATATAGAAGGTACTCATTATGTGTTAAATAAGTAAATTGGAGAATCCACCTTGGGCATTAAATCAGCCAGACCAATTGCTCTATTATCCAGGACTTATTTTCATACAAACATCATCACAACATCTCTCACCTAGCATTTGTCCCTTAAAGTCAAATATTTAAAACATTATCCCATTCCTCTTCACACATCTCTTATGAGTGGGATACAGAAAAATTTCTTAAAATTCAGAGAAACTGAGTAATAGGGTGATTAAAATAGCCTGACCAAAGTCATATTTAGTCTAGAATTTAAATGCAGGTCTCCAGAGTCATGCAACTACGGAGTACTCAGACTATTCTAAACCCATTTTGTGTGTGGTATCTTGAAAACATTGTATGGTTAAGAAAATCCATTTTCTGTAAGGAAATCCACAATTTCCTCACTTTCTCTGATTTTTTAGAATGTAATTGTGACCAGAAATCATTGTAAAAATACTGATTTTCTTTTTAAGTGAGAATAGGAAAAATTATTTCAAAATCAGACAGGTTCACTATCTGTTTTAAATGTACTCTAAATATCATTTTGGACCAAAAATTACATGGCATTATTTCTTGCCCAATTCCAAGAACCTCATTTCAGCAATTTAAGCAGTCTCCTACGTTTCTTCCTATCTTGATTCTTCTGTGGTTTTTACCTGACCCTAAATCAGCATAAGGATAACAATTAAAATAATGGAATCATTCACAGATATAATGTCTAGAAAGATATATGCTAACAATAACTCTGAGATGGAGCATTATGGTTCTTTAATTTTTTTCTCTTTTTAACTTTATCTGTATTTTCTATGTTTTGACAAAAATATAGTTCTATAATTAAAAAGCTAAGATTAAAAAATAGGATAATCATCTTCATTTACTTTCTTGATACTGTATATTGCTGGAGAAAATTACATAGCTAATCTAAATGGAATCCTCTGGATTATTATTCCCAATCACTCTGGATTTATATAGTGTGCAACTCTTTGTTTTTCATAGTCAGCTCTCTTCCGGACTCCCTTTGGCAGCTTTACTAGTTACCTTGAGCTCCCTAAAGCAAAAGTGTGTCATGATTATTTCATTTTTGAAAGATCTTGACCTTCCAACATCTTACATCTGAAGTCCTATCTAACTTGACAGAAGAGATTCCCCCGTATCATCTTCCTAGTGGCAGTTGTCTTTAAATGGTCATGATGTTTTAAAGGGAATCAACATTTTGTGACTGAGAAGTAGGCATTGCTCCTAGTTCCCTCTTGTGCGTTACTGCTGTGCATGACTACTGGGGAGTCATTCCTCACAGCAGGAAGGGGAGCTAGAAATAGAAAACTGTATGAAAAGCAGCAAATTAATGAGGAAATTCAACTTTTGGCCTAACCAGCCAGTGTGTTCAGCCAAAGGATTTCCTGTGGCTAAGAGTTACCATATGACAACCTTCCGAATATTTAAGAAAACCAGCAACATGCCTTTCTCTGTTTCTGTGGTTTTTACTTTTTAATGTGGCCAGAACAAGTTATGTAAACTCATTTCTAAATCTGCAATTTAAAATAGGAGTGAAAAAGGAGAAAGATGCAAAGCCACAGTACGGTTAGTAATCTTGATTTTATTTTTAAAATGCGTTAGGTAAGAGGGGTTATGAGCTTTGGAATTACCACATCTGGCTTCAAACTCCCAATTCTACTTAACAGTCATGAAATTTTAAGCAAGTCATTTAACCTCTCTGAGTTTCATTTAGCCTATCAATGAAACAGAAGTAAGAATATTAATAGTCCATAAAATAATTGAAAGAGGAAGATGGATATAATAGCTTAGCATCATGCCAATATTCATTCAAAATATGGTAGCTTTTAGAATATTTGTACTGTTTGTCTGCCAACATGTTCTCTACAATAGCCTAGATTAGATTATGTGCTAGCTTGTTAACTAGAAAATAAAATTTTTGCTTTTGGAAAAGAGCTTAATATTTAGTAGACAATGTTTTCTTCTAGATGATCTGAGCTACCGCTGGCTTCTAAATGAATTTCCTGTATTTATCACCATGGATAAACGACGATTTGTGTCTCAGACAAATGGCAATCTCTACATCGCGAATGTCGAGGCATCGGACAAAGGCAATTATTCCTGCTTTGTGTCCAGTCCTTCTATCACAAAGAGTGTCTTCAGCAAATTTATCCCACTCATTCCATTACCTGAACGTAAGTATTTTATTTGCTGCACCCTGTTTTTCCAAGGTTGTCTGCTTATGGCACACTTGTAATAATGGAAAGAAATATCCAGTGGGAAGACTAGCTGGTTGCTCACTCAGGGCAAATAAGACACACTTTGAAAGCCTTGGTTCTTCCTTAGTTTTTCCCATAGAGATTTACATCATAGAAGTGCCCAAATATGGTTGAGTTTAGACCGGTTGGCTCTGTTTCAGAGACTGCATCGGGGACTGACTCATTAGCCAAATACCCGTATGTTGGTTACAATGGGAATCACCAGCATCTGCTTTTTGTTTCATGGCCGTTCCTACCTCTTAGGAAGCTCACGAAAGAGAACAAATGATTAGATGAAAACAAACTATAGTGATTACAAAATTAGGGGGAAAAAAGTGTTATATTACTTTTATATTTTTAAGGAACTAGTTACATGAATCAAGTATATAAATTGTGTTTCTACTGTAAATAATTAGCATAGGGTATTACTACGGTGGCGCCATATTTGATGACTGATGGGCTTTTTCCCAGCTTAATATTTAGCAGCTCCAAACTGAACTACCTTCCTTTTTTTTAACGCACCACCACCAGAGAGAATCAGATCCCAATATATTTGCTTACCTCATATTATTTTTATTGCAGTCCTGTTGCTACACGCATATCACTGAGTCCAAGTTTCTGAGGAAATACTGATCTCATTTCATACTGTTAATAGACTTAAGTTTGGCTCCTGCCTCTACCCCTAAGTAGTGTATGACAATGGGGAAAATGCCACCATATCACTGTGATTACATTTTTCTTACTCTCCTCAAAATAGCGGTCACATGGTTGGTATTCAGTAAATACTTTTTGACTTTTTGGCTCTTTTTCCCTCCACAATCTTGGGAGATACTCTCATTCACTACTTCTCATAGTTAAAAGAAGCCATCCTGTAAGAACTCCCTTAATTTTCTTTCTTACTCTTCCCTAGAAATTCAGCTCTTCTATTTATTTCTTACCTTCTGTCTTTGTGGAAGAAATGTTTCTCCTCCTGCTCAAGCTAATTCCTCCACTTGCTCTGATTCACATCCCATTTGATTCATTTAGAGATTTGGCTATATCACTTATTTCCTTTCTTTTATGAACCTTCAAATTCTCTTCCATTATTTTCCCTCTGCCTATTCTTTTGTATTCAGTGCAATCTTGGATAATGAAAACAACTTCTTATTTGCTAAATCCAAAGGACACTTCGATTCTGTATAAACTTTGTGTCTCTTTTGCCTCTCTTGAACTCTTTTTTGTTTTCCTAATTTCCCTGACTCCTTTCATTCTCTCCTCATCTCCCACCTGCCTCTCTGACAAATTCTACGCAGTATCTTTCACCAGATCTTTTTTCTCATATTTTTCTCTAATCTTTTTCTAGATATTCTCACACATTTATACCTTTTCAACAGTAGCTCTATGCAGAAAACTCCAAATTCACATCTCCGAAACTTATCCCTATGGTTAGTCCTTAATTTTACCTACCTCCTGGACTTGTCACCCAGAAAGTTCTCAAGGATGTTAAGCTCAAAATGTTCCAAACACACCTGTTATCTCCCCTCTAAACCTCTTCTTCTGGTGTTCTCCATTTCGTTTAGCAATACTGTCATTCTTCTGCTAACTGAGAGTATCATTTTTAATCATCAACTCCTCTCCTCCCCTCATCTTCAGGACAGTGAATCCAACGGTTCTCATTTAGTGTGTAGGAGCTTGGGAAGTTTGAGGAAAATGTGGAACCCAGAGGTACTGACTCAGCAGGCCTGGGATATGATCCAGGCATCTGAAGTTTCAACAAGCATCCCTGGTGACTCTGATCAGTTGGATCTTTGATCTACATCTTGAGAAAACTTTGATCCAAGGGGCAGTCCTGTTGATTCTGCCTCTAAACGACAACTTGTATCTGTTCTTTCCTTTCTGTTCCTGCTGTGACCGTGCCCTACTTCGTCTGTTTTTCTGAATTAATGAAACAGCCTCCCTTAGATTTCTGACTCCCTTCTGTATTTCTCTTCTCCATGCTCCATCCTTTAAAACTGCCAACAAGGTCTTCTACTTAAACCAAAGGTAAGATTCATATTACTTCTCTTATCCAAACCTATTGGTACTTACCCACTGAGGAAATTAGTCTTGAAATATTTACTATTACAGTTTTGAGCCTTCTAGATTATAGGTTCAAGCTCATCTTCAACTACTTATACTTCAACATCATTTGAATTCTCAGATCTTTTTAAATTCTCTGCGCACTCTTAGAGCTTTGTCATAATATACTGTTTCTTCAACCTGAACTGGTCCAGTTCAAATGTCTTCTTGCCTAAAATTCTCATAGTCCCTACATACTTCCACCAATTCTCCTTGACTGCCACTCTTTCAGACCATCTATTTTTGTTTTGGCTTGTATTTTAGGTCCTCATGTATCTATTTGTCTCCTTAGCATTATACAGTATAAAGTACATACATTGTGATCCTAAGCAATGTACTTAGCCTTTCTGAGCCTATTTCTTCCCCTATAAGGTTGGGGAAATAATATTTCTTTCAGGACTGATATGCTAAGTAAATGAAATAAAGTACCTATATTTATGAGCACAGTGATGTCTGAATAAACATTTTTCTTCTTTTCCTCTCTCCTTCCCTCTTTTCAACTTGTTTCCCCTTTGCCTTCATTTCCACTGACACTTCTTTCTTTTCTCTCTTTTCTTGTCTTTCCTCCTCCTTTCACTCACTCCTCTCTTCCTTCTTCCCTTCTCCCTCATTTCTTTTCTTCTTTCTCTTTCTTCCTGAGTTCCATATAGCACCTGGCACAGTGTTTTACACATATTTGATGCTCCCTAAAGACTTCTTGAATTTTCTTAGTAAATTGAGTCAGATTGGTTATACAGCTGTTAGAGAGAACCAATGTGGTTGAAAATGCCTGATGAAATTTATACTCTATACGTACTATGCATAAACAAACAGATCTATACATTGTGACACAGATATTTTCCATGACCTAGACAGACAAAAGCCTTCCGTATTGAAGCAATTCTATTTCTGTAAAAATTACAGTGTTAAAAAAAACACTATTCTGCTTATTAATCAGTTGATGTTTTTGTTTTTCTTAATATTAGGAACAACAAAACCATATCCTGCTGATATCGTAGTTCAGTTCAAGGACGTATATGCACTGATGGGCCAAAACGTGACTTTAGAGTGTTTTGCACTTGGCAAGTAAGTATACCTACATTTTTCATTAACATATACAGAAATACATTAATTTTTATACTGTTTTAGGAAATAAATGATGTAAATGTTTATCTATAAATGTAAACACAAAATTGCCTTATGAGCGTTGTGGATTCTTAGCTCTTGAATCTCCTATTTAAAGTCCTGTTCCTGATATCCGATGGCGGAAGGTCCTAGAACCAATGCCAAGCACTGCTGAGATCAGCACCTCTGGTGCTGTCCTCAAGATCTTCAATATTCAGCTGGAAGATGAAGGCACATATGAATGTGAGGCTGAGAACATTAGAGGAAAGGATAAACACCATGGAAGAATTTATGTTCAAGGTAGATGATATATTATGTTAATTTTCTGTAAATTTCATCAATATCTTATTTACAGACATTTCCATACTTGAAAAGCTAGTATATAATGATTAATAGTTTAAAAATAGTGATATGTATTACATTGTGCAAAAAGATGAAACATTTATCTTATGTCTAATTAAGTCACAAATATGAGTTATAACTGTTATGGACCTATATCATTAGTATCATAGTAACACCAATGGATTGATAGTAGCCTTCTTGATAACTTTCAGAAAATACAATTAATGTAGCTTGTTGACTCCCTTCATTGTTCTCCTTTTTTAGATACCTTTTTATTTGTAGAAGAACCCATGCATTATGACTTGGTTTAATCTAAGCCACTGGTTTGCAAACTTTAGTATGCCTCAAAAATCACCTGGAGGGCTTGTTAAAACCTAGATTTCTGGTTCCCACCCTCAGAATTTCTGAATTAGAAGGTCTATTTGGGGCCCAAGAATTTGTATTTCTAACATGTTCCTAGCAGATGTTAAGGCGACTGGTCCAGGTACCACACTTTGAGAATCACTAGTCTAAGGAAGCATTTTTCTGTGACACAGTTTTCTTGATACAAGTGTTTGATTCTCACACATTGAAATAAACATATTTTGGAGAATAGAATGTTGCTATTCAAGCAATACTTGGAACTTTTCAGGTTGTGATCATCTCTATAATGTCCCACAATGTGAAAATTGCAGGTCACAACTGAATAAACATCTAGGGCTTCAACAAGATCGTTTATTTAAAGGATCAGCATACACTGAGTGTCAACTCAGAGGTAGAGTATGATCGGAGCAAGGATAGTCAGACAAAGGAAACACTCTCCTTACAGTTGAGGAATTCATACTCTATTCATGTTATACACAAACCTCCCAAATAAATACAAATATACACAGGTAAACAAACATATACCTACCTACCTACCTACTTACCTACACACAGACAAGTAATTATAAAGAAAATTGTGAGAGTGCAATATGGAAATTTACATGGAATATTGGTAAATCATACGGTGAGGAGCTCCTTAGCCACACTGAGAAGGTGGGAGATAGGAAAAACTGGATGATGCCTAAGCCAAACTGAAATACTAGAATGGGGAAAGAGCACTGTGGCAGGGTCAAGGCTAAGCCCCCCTCCCAAGACCCCAGCGCTTTGTTCATGGAGGGATAATAAAAAAATAATTATGAATTGAATTATAGTTACTTCCAGCTATAATAATGTAGGATAAAGTTTACCTGCAAACCTACAGAAATAGAATTTCAAGGGCTAAAACACTGATTTTAGGATACACACAAAATTTGATACATTCTCCAGAAGAAGCTCAACTAAATGTAATATTAGTCCCCTTGAGATGATGATGAATGTTGAGACTTGCATTTGACATTTACAATGTTCGTTACTTTTTAGCATTTCCCGAGTGGGTAGAACACATCAATGACACAGAGGTGGATATAGGCAGTGATCTCTACTGGCCTTGTGTGGCCACAGGGAAGCCCATCCCTACAATCCGATGGCTGAAAAATGGATATTCGGTATGTATGTTCAAACGCTTTGCATGAGTCTATGTTTAGACAACATTTACATGTGGTCCTGGGATAAATTTAACATGAGAGTTGATAAAGTTAGGGTACCTGAGCCCTGAAATATGAAAATTTCCTAAGAAAAGCAAAGAAGAAAGTGAACATAAAGTATCTTCTTTCAGTTTAAACAACTTTCTGTAATCTTATATCTACCTTCTCTCTCTCTCTTATTTTTTCCTTTGTCCCACTTTTTATCCCTCTTCCTACTCATCCATCTCCACTACCTGATATTGTCCTCTTTTTCTTGCCACTGTTTCCCTGACCCCACAGAAACAGAGGTAAGAGTGAAGGTCCTACCTTTAGCCCTGGGGACACGTAGCAGCAGTGGGGTTCTTCTCTACCTTCCCACTGTAATCTCCCAGCTGGGCCAAGAGGGCAACAGGTGGACTCTCAGCTCTGTAGGATGAATAGGACAAGAGCCACTGGGCATGGTAAGTGGGTTTTACTTCCCCATGCCGTGAAAACCCCACTCCACTTGGCTTAGTTAACAGTGGGGGCAAAAATAATATATCTATATTAAAAGGCAACTAAGCCCAAACCTAAATGAAAGCAATTCTATTAAAGTTTGTTGAGGAAATGTGTTTTACTTTGTGTTCTTTTCAGTATCATAAAGGGGAATTGAGACTATATGATGTGACTTTTGAAAATGCTGGAATGTACCAGTGCATAGCTGAAAACACTCATGGAGTCATTTATGCAAATGCGGAGTTGAAGATCTTGGGTCAGTATCATTTCTAGTTTCTGTTAACATTCAGAAAGAGAACAACATGTTAAAAAATAATCATAGGGTATCTATAGATGATATATGATTTCACATTACTTTCTTGAATTGCTGAAGTTAAAAAAATTTTTAATGTGATTTGGAATAGAAAGTATTATTGTTTTTCTTTTCATTAAAGAACAGTAAATAAATTTGAACAAACGTGGAGTATAATGGTTTTTAAATTTTTTTTAAATGGTCAAGCAAACTTTACACATGTCCATTTTTAGAAGTCTTATCCTCCCTTGCGTCTTGGCAGCTAAGTACAGCCTGAAAATCACCTAGTGCAGATTCGTGCTTCCACAATGCATGTGGCCCAGCCTCAGATGAGTCTTTAGCACTTCCTGGCATTATCTGTCCCTGTGTTGCAGACTCTACAATTGCTATTTAAAACCTTCAGGACATTCCTCAAGCCCCTGACCCCACTCTGACTCCTACTTCCATATTTCCTTCTTATTTCTCCATGAAAATTGAAATACTTAGAAATAAAATATTTCAGCTTCCCATCCCTCATTCAAAACTATCTAAATCTTTACTGCACTTGTCCTTTCATACTCTTCATCCAGAGGAAGAAAATAATCCCTTTACCTCTGGCCCTATGTTTATTCCTTTTCACTTACTCTGATGCTTGATATCAACAGATATCCCTTTTCCGTGTGTGTGTGTGTGTGTGTGTGTGTGTGTGTGTGTGTGTGTGATGTATGTATGCATATGTGTGTATACATATTCCTTCAAGCTGCCTCTCCTTCTGGTCGTGTTTTGTTCTTGAATTCTCCTCTCCCTTGTCTTTGGTGATTCCATGCTCTCATACCTCCCAGACCATTTCTTCTCACTTACCTTCATTATCTCCTTTTCACCCCTTCCTCTCCTCAGCTAAAAATCTTCCTCTCTCCCAGAGTTCCATTCCTCTGATTCCATTCCATTCTCTTCCTCATTCTTCCACATATTTTATATTACTATTCTTGGATTATTATTTTAAAAATTTTTTAGAATTCCTGGATCATTTATTATTCCTCTTTACCCATTAATTATCACTGATCCTATAATTTATATCTCTGGCCCAGATTTTTATCCTCAGCTTCAAGCTCCATATAAAGCTTCCTAGTAGAAATGTTCATCTGGGTAACCTGACAGATAACCCAAACTTAGCATGTGTGAAAGTGAATTCATTATCTCTCACCCATATCCACATCTCCTGAAAAATTCTCTATTCTAGAGAATGACACAATATACTATATCCTTTTCTCCCATCACATCTACTAAATTTCTCAATTTTACACCATAAATCTCTCTGAGATTTTTCACATTCTTATTTCCATTACAACTACTTTAAGGTCTTACTGCATCATGTCATTTTCATATTATTTGAAGTAGCTGTCACCAGGCTCAGTCATATTATAAGTAATGATTCCAGGTAGTCAGGCTTTCTCTTCCAGAACTGATTATTGACAAGATAAAGCAATGCCTCAGTGTGGCCTATTTTATTCTTGCTACACCAAAGGGAAATTCTTTAAAACATTAGTATCACTGTGAATTGGTTGAGACTAAAAGAACATGAAAGGAAATGAGATAAGTTTAAGAAAGTATTAAAGAAAACTATCTTTAAGAAGAGTTAAGACTTTCTTAATTTTAACTTTCTCTGCGTCTTCTTATAGTGCTGAGGATCATATTTCATTTCTTACCCTCTAAAGTCAAAATCCCTTGGTAATGTTTTTAATCTAGTTTATGTAGATATCAAGCAAGCATTCAGGCTTAGGTTTCATACCATATCACTTTGATATATCACTTTGATATGGAATGAAATAAAGCATTTTGATTCTTAGTAAAGATATGAGGTGGGTCTGAATTCTTTCCTCAAGATCAACTTTCTGATTTCTGTTTAAAAAGAACCTTCGTTTTCTTATTTGTCATCATCCATTACAAAAGAACATGAAAATTCAACAGCCCAGACTTAAAGATCTCTCTATATTCAAAGCTAAAATCTTTCAATCATTTAATGACTATTAATGTAGTAATTAAGCAAACTGTTTGAACGCTTTCAGCCTGAGATCAACGTTCCTGGGCATCTTTATATTTGTCTCAGTCTATTTTTGTTTATTACCTTTAGAAACAGTTTTTCTCTCCTTTTTTTCCTGAGTTTTCTGGTTAATCCATTTATTCATCCACCAAATGATTGAGTACTTACTCCACACCAGGTACTATTCTTTAATAGGCTCACTAAAGAGCGAAAGAGCCAAAAAGCGCACGTCCTCTTCTTAGCTGGGGGAAAAGTGTTCCGTTATTTCTTCTCACTTCTAACATATATAGGAACATAGTCTAGATTCTGTTACTACAAGTTCAAATATTAGATAAGTATGAAGTCATTTAAATGACCATACCAAATCAACTATTTCATTAAAACTTAATTGACTCAAAGAAAAAAATCTATTTTCTAGGTGAACTTACACTTTTTAAAGATAATTCTATTAAGTTTTCTCTCACATTTTACAAGCAATGTGTCACCCACAATACTTATTGAGCTGCACACTGCATTTGGTATACAACACAGATTGCTTGGTTATTTATTTATTGCCAATTATCAAAACTCAGACTAAAGGGATAATGTAATAAACTAGATCCTTGCTACAAAAAGGGTGCTCCTCAGAGCAGCAGCAGCAGTAGCAATACCTGGGAGCTTGTTAGAAATGCCAAATCTCAGGCCCACGCCAGTCCTACTGAATGAATATTTTAATAATATCCTCAGATGATTTTGATGCACAGATAAAATTGGAGAATCACTGGGCTAGATAATGAAGAGTCAAGACCTAGATAAAGATATACTTAGAAAAAGCTCCTTAAAAAACAGTTACATATGACTGGAATGTGTGAAAATAGATGGATGGAATTTCCCTGGAGTCTGCTAATACAGATTGAGAAATGGGCTACATGCGGGGACCCTAAAGAAAGTTAGAGCAAGTCATCAATGGAGTAACCTTTATGAGACTCTATATCCTGTTTTCATAATTGCTGTTCTGTACTTTGACATAGGGATGAACTATAAGTGGATCATGTACTCCTCAATTGATTAGATCCATCATTCCCATAGCTCTTTGTAGGTAGGTCCTGAAGGCAAGGATCTCTCTGTTTATTTTGGCACCTCATAGTGCTTGCACACAGTTGGCACTCAATAAATGTTTGTATGATGAAGGAGGAGTCATTGTTTAATGAAAAGAGCATGCCTGAGCATCAGAAGGAACTAAAGATTCAAATCTAGATCCCACCCGATACTGCCTTGGCACCTTTGACAAATTATATAACTTTAATAGATATCAGTTTTCTCATTTGTAAACTAGGAACAGTTCACTCCAAGTGTGGTTGAGACTATTGATTAGGACCGTATGTCAATATTGATAATGTTGCTTGATTCCCTCCAGCCTTTCACTTAACTTCCCTTGTGCAATTAAGTCAAAACAACTGAATTAGGTGTTACTTTCGAGGTAAATATGTATACAACGTTTGATTATAAAGTTTATAATGATTAATACAGCTAGACTTCAAGAAGTGTAGACTTTAAGATGAGTGAATTTTATGATAAATATACTTCAATAAAAATGAAAAATGATAGTAGGTATATCATGTATGTTGGTCACAGCTGATAGTATTTGGTGAGATTAATCTTTTCTATTGATTATTACTTAAAAGGGAATAAGCATGCTATAGTACAGAAGAAATGTTTTCTTTTTCTTTTTTAGCAAAAAAGGAAAATAATAATTTATTTCCTTTTAGCTTTGGCTCCAACTTTTGAAATGAATCCTATGAAGAAAAAGATCCTGGCTGCCAAAGGAGGAAGGGTTATAATTGAATGTAAACCTAAAGCTGCACCAAAACCAAAATTTTCCTGGAGCAAAGGGACAGAGTGGCTTGTCAATAGCAGCAGGTCAGTTCAGAAACTAGAAATTCAGCTGCCATTCGTTATGGGGAAAGTTTACAGCAAACTGGTTGTCATATTAATAATGTAAATGTTGCCTGTTCCAACTTTTCCCCACAGAAGCTACCATTTCTAAGATGAACAGAAATACTTACCCATCACTGTCGGTATCTATTATAATCAGGGTTCAATTTTTAGGCTTCTATAATTTATAAGGAATTTAGAAAATTGAGGCTCAGAGATTTTTGGCAAATTGCCCAAGGGCACAGAAATAGTGAACAGTGGGAAATAAAGTAGAATCTCTCTAACTTATTTTTCTCCTAGCAAGGGCATCTATCTTCATTCACATTTGATTTAATTTTATGCAATTAATCTATTAAATATTTCAGTAGGAAAATTAAAAGGTGACTTCAAAGTATAACTCACTTCTTCCCATCTTCTTAAATGAGCAGGAACTTCTCATCTTCCCAATAAGTGGACCATCTACCAATGTTTTGGTGACTTTGGGACAAAATAAAAATATGTGACTTGCATAGATTATTATATAAAAACCACACTGAATGGTTTCTATGAGTTTCCTAGAGGAAGTTATAGTTACATTGAGTACTAAATTATGAGAAGGAGAAAGCCAGGATAGGAAATAGGAGGAATGGGATGAGAAGGTGGGGGAACAGGGGATATTTCAGGCTGTGAGAGCAGCATGTGCAAAGGCCCCAAGGCAGAGAGTATAGAATGTGTAAGGAATGCAAGAACTAAAATCAATATGGCATACCATTAGCGGAAAACGGAGAAGAGTTTTAACACATGAGACATAGTAAGCCTTATCATCAATAACATAGTTTTCTATGCTAAGGGGTTTGGGCTTCATCTACGAGTAACAGAAATGTGTCTAAAGGCTTAAATAAGGGAGGAAAAAAGTAGTTTTTGCCTTTTAAATGAATATTCTGGCAAAAGTGAAGAAAACAGATCGTCTTCACAATAATCCAATAGAGTAGGAAAGAAGAGTATTATAATCTCTATTTTTATGTATCTAAAGCCTAGAAAGATTAAAGTGACCTTCTGACAATATAGTGATAATCTCCAAACTGGAACTTGAACTTGTGTCATGTTGACTTGGAACCAGAACCTGCCAACACAGTTGTCTTATTAGGATGATCACAAGTATGGCTGTGTACGGGACAGAGGTAGGATGGGGAGAGGGGTTATGCAGGGATGGCAGTTGTTTGTCTGAACCCATCAACTTTTAAAGTTAATATGTTTGACCTAAGAGTTATTAAGGCTTTAATGAATTGATGCTAGAAGGATCCGTAGTAAAGGAAGAATCAGTTTGTTCAATTTTCTGCTGAAACATTAGCAGTCAGACAATGAGCAATGCAGAGACCGTGATCTAAAGATAGTCCCATTTTGGGGTACTCACTCCTGCAAGAACCTATGGCCTACCATTCCCCATGGACTCTGCCAGGAACTCTGTCCCCTTATTGAAAAAAATCTTGCTCTGATTCTGAGGAGGACCCATGTCATGGGCCTCTTCAACCAAGGGGATTTCTCAGAACCATTTTTCACGGACTTGTTTTTCCTAAATATCAACGTGTTCAAAAAAAGAAAAGAAAAGTCTACCTCCTAAATTCTTATTATTGTGGTCATGTTATAATATTTTTAAAGTCTTTGAATCATATTGTATTACTTCTTGATGAAAGAGTCCATAAATCCAATTCTTGCTCACTACGTCAATCCCTTAATTCTCAGGTTATTTAAGTACTACTTTATCATAGATACAGTATTTTGTGTACAAATAAGTTTTAATGTTGCAAAATAGTATATATGAAGAAAAGTTAAATTACTAAATTATTTTTAGAGAAATAAAATATTTCTATTGAAAAATAATATTCCAGGAATAACTAAATAACCCTCTTTAAGCATAAGCGTAATCTCATTCTTATTAATGTAATTACAAAAACTTCTTCCGCATTACAAAGTTATTTCTGTGCCTGGTTAGTGGCTTGTAGAATGGTTTATGCAATATTTGCAATCAGTAGAGAGGAGACATAAATCTTGATAAGTTCTCAATTGTGTGATTCATTTTGGGCTACTATGATACACATTCTCTAGCAGAATTCCTTTGTAGTTGTTCATTTATGTCTGATGCACTGCTGTCAGCTCTAACGTGATCAATATCTGAGCCATTTATGTGAGGCTATCTCCAAGATTCTTTTCCACTCCAGAGTTGGTGTAATTTAACAATTAACAAATAAGATGGAGGTCATTTTGGAGTAATTTTGGCAACAATAGGTGAATTTTTTTTTTAAGATTGGCCCTGAGCTAACATCTGTTCAATCTCCCCCCCTTTGTGTTCTCCCCAAAGCCCCCCAGTACGTAGTTGTATATCCAATTGTAGGTCCTTCTAGTTCTTTGTGGGCCACCACCTCAGCATGACTTGATGAGTGGTGCTAGGTCTGCACCCGCGATCCAAACCAGGCAACCCTGGGCCACTGAAGTGGAGTGTGAGAACTTAACCACTCAGCCATGGGGCCAGCCAGCAATAGGTGACTTATTAAAGACCAGATTGTTCCTAGTTTGTTTGACTGTTTATCCATATCATATTATCTGAAAATAAGGATAAGATCCTGAGAGTTTAATCTACATTGTCTTAAGTATAAGGACAGTTATTACAAAAAAGTCAAGTTTCCTAAATATTCTTACTAAAAATTAAGTGCCTGAAAGTATGGGTAAGATGAATGACACGAGGAATTGTACCCTTTAAAGATCATAAAGATCAGCTGAGAGCTAATATAAATGAGAAAACTAAGAATATGAATGTGGATTCTAGAAAGAATAATTGTTGCTGTTGTTTCCATTGCAACTTGACTACAATTTTCATTGTTTTACTTGCAAAATAATTAAATGGGAGTGGGGTGGAAAATTAGCTAAGGAGTTACACTAGAGGTTGGTGAGAAAAATTTGGCCCATTAACATTGGTACTGTGTTAATATGGATTTTATAAGAAGAAGATACCAATTCAGGATTAGTCCTGAAAGAGGTTTATTAATGGCAATGCCTAGGAGGGAAAAGAGAGAGCAAAGAAGACGGAGGATGGAAGAGACATCTGACTGAGATGCAGTCTGATCCCAGGTGAGAGAGGGAAGGAAGGAAAAGAAGTTGGGTGGAAATGACTTGGACTGAATCCAGTTCTAAGAGAATATGGTAAGGCCTCTGGAGAGTCCTCTAGCCAAAAAGGCCCATCAAAGGAATCTGATGTTTTCCAGGAACAAGTCTGCCTTCAAATTCCTCCCAGGCTGTCATTGGCTGAGAGCTGCCTGTGGAAAGTGTGGCGTTGGCCCAATGCAGGGGTGGATCTCTGAGGGCAGCAGCTGGGGCAGTGAATCAGTTACAATCCTCACAGTTGGAGAACTTAGAGAGGCATCTTAAAACTTCCACAGTATCAAATAATGGCTTTTATGGTTATAACATCTTAATACTGTATTTTTTCTTCAAGAAGGAAAACATATTCTGAAATCAACTTAAGTTGGAATTGGGTAAAGAAGGGAAAGGAAATCCTGGAATAAATGATTAGTGGAATTTTTGGTATTATATGGAGATTTTTGTTAATAAAGTAAATATACAATATTTTTCCTTTGTCAAGTTCTGCCCTGAAAATGGAGTATATGGAGAATTATTTGCATGTGTTGTGCAAAGCTTCAGAGATCATTTAAGGTTTCGGAAATGGCACATTTAAAGAAAGTAAAAATCCAATGACAGGCAATTCAATATTGAATCTAGGTGTGAGGCATTGTATAATGAAGTTATATAATACATATATGTTATATATAAAAGTTATATATAATGAAATATATGTAATGAGTTCTGCAGCCTCTAAGGAAGAAGCAGACTGGCAGGTGGGATGGATTTCAGTTCTGTTCAGTAGTAAAGATTTAGGTCCTGTTCAAAGAAGAATTTCCTGAATATTAATCTGTTACAGAGCCTGTCACTAAGGGAGGTTTTAAAACATCTCTCTCTAGAATTTCCTAAAAATAAAATGTTTGTATTTCTCTGTAGCAGTGGAAATGATAGTCTGTCCTAACTTCAGAATCTGAACTGAAGTCCTGAGGTCACATTTCTGAAGTTCTGAAGCTCATTTCTTTCCAGCCTGCGATAGGTTTGAACCTGTCTCACAGTCATTTTATGGTGGTGTGTGGAAAACCACTTGCCTCTATCAAACTCCCTGTAGTTCATTCATTCAAGAGAAGGTGGGATGGATGCCTACTCAGCGATCGGTGTCACACTACTTCATAAGTCCCTGGCACAAAGAATTTTTTTTCCTAATGAATAAATGAGTTAATGGATATGTTCCCTGTTAGACACAGGGCCACGAACAAAGCAGATACCAATTCCTGACATCAGAATGTTACCATCTAATGGAAGGATTGAGTCATAAGTAAAAATGAAGTATGTCAGGTGAAATATGTATTCGGAAATAAAACTCTGGGAAGAGGGATAGGATGGGGAATGCCAGGACAGCAGCAGTGCTGTGTGTGTGCACATGTGTATGTGCACATGTGCGTACATGCATGTATGCATGCAATACTAACTAGAATGATTAGGCAAAGCTTTACTGAAGGTAGCCCTGTGCAAAAACTTGAAGGATTTAGGGAACAAACTGTGAGCTTGTCCAGGGCCTAAAAGGGCAATCAAAGGACTGTGGCTCTTACTATACATTAGGTGGAAAGTGACTGGGGGGTTTTAAACCGTAGAGTGACATTACTGAGCACAAGAGTGACATGGTATGACTTATGTCACATGTCTTCATGCCTGGCTTACATGTGGAAAAGAGACTATAGGGAAGGAAGGGTAGAAGGAGGATGCCAGTTAGAGACTACTGTAATAGTCCAAGCAAAAGATGATAGTGGCTTTCTACAACAACTTGTCAGTGCTGAGAAAGAATATTATAGACAAAGGCTAGAATGTTTCATCTTAAAAAATCTTACTGTCAAGTAACTTGTGTAAAATGTACTGATCAAAAGGTATTAGTGTTTGTAATCTGAGATATATAATAGTAAAGTATTTCCTTAAATTAATTTTGTGAAGTACACATTGCTTTTTTCATTTCCATAGAATACTCATTTGGGAAGATGGCAGCTTGGAAATCAATAACATTACAAGGAATGATGGTGGTATCTATACGTGCTTTGCAGAAAATAATAGAGGGAAGGCTAACAGCACTGGGACTCTTGTCATCACAGGTAAGAAAACATTTGATTACTATTGGGTGTTTGGGGTTTTTTTAGTTTGGTGGTTCTTCATTTCTAATGTACTATAAGATGTGTTACAGCACTAAGTCCATGTATTGATAAGTTTTCATTTCAAACGCCTTCTGGACAAATCTCTAGCTTAATGAAATTGTTCTTAGAATTTGGATTCAAAAACATCTTATTGCTTTGCACTGAGAAATCAAAATATATTGATTTTTATTCTTTTAATTTACCAGGTAATATGGTGTCTCATATTTTCTTGAATTGTGTTTGTCTCCCTTACTTGAAAATGTCTAGATCCCACGCGAATTATATTGGCCCCAATTAACGCTGATATCACTGTTGGAGAAAATGCCACCATGCAGTGTGCCGCTTCCTTTGATCCTGCCCTGGATCTCACATTTATTTGGTCCTTCAATGGCTATGTGATCGATTTTAACAAAGAGAACATTCATTACCAGCGGAATTTTATGGTACGTGTTTTAAGTTTCATCTTATTAACATCCCAATGACCCCTATGTGTCTGCACTGCAACTTCTATTATTACAATCATTTTCACAAGACCAAATAATATGCAAAAAAAGCTTCTCATGGATTTCCTTAGAGTAATTATAATACTCCTGAACTTTTCTAAAAATGGGTAGCTCTAAGGATTTTGGTAGAGATATTAATCAATAAATATTCATTGGGCTTTGGGTCCATCCTGCCCTTAATTATAATACAATTTTTATATTGCTGTGTATTATGCCTCAATATATCTGTACTTTAGGTACTAGTGCCTCTATGTTCACTTTAAATGAGGTAAGAGCATAGAATTTACCCTTTGTTATAATGATGACTTTAAGGCATTTATTTTATAATTTGAGGGTAAGAAATAGACAATATATATATATATGGGTGGGTTTGGACAACTAGTCCATATGATTTGAAAAGGGTTAAGTGGCTGTATTTTATTTTAAAAGTAGGAAAGCATATATGATACAAGACCTATAATTAAGCAATTAAGCACAGTGATGCCTTTGTATGGAAATAAATAAAATAAAGAGACCGGGACATAATGCAGGAATAATGGCTTGCATAGGAACGCTATTGGTGCGTTGATAGGGCTGTCTAGTTTACAGTGTATTTAAAAGGCAAGTTGATCGATGCTTCTACTGATTTGTAGAAAGGTGACCGTTTAGGAGCCTAAAGACCTATATAGAACATATGCTTAGTTAAGAAAACTTTAATTTTAATTTCTGAAGTCAATTATTAATATAGAAATAAAAGTTTGGATTTGAGTTAATCCTGAGTTTTATTTAAGATTTTTAAAGTCCTATGAAATCTTAAGATTGATATGTATGTATTATAATAATATTATGCTTTCAAATAGTCTGTCTCTTTTTTTAAAATTCTTCTAGAACTTTCCTCTTTAAAAAGCCAAAACAAGCTTTCAGTCAGGTTAAGTGAGACTGATTTTAACTAGATGGAGACATTCTTTTAAATTTTTATTAGGTAGATTCATAAAGCAACTTTCAATATAGTATCAATGTTTATGACTTCCATACGTTAACTGTAATTCCAGTTTCTTTTTAATCTCACAGATCTAGCTATAATGTAACTCTACAGTAAACCCACCTACTGAAATTCAGTTTCTGAACCAAACTTACACTTTAAAAAGTAACAACTGGGAACTGGCAGAGAACGATTTTAACATTATACCACATGATATTTTTTCCTTATATGTCTGGAACTATTTTGTTGTGCTTCACACAAACATGCTCAACTCTAGTAAAATTGACACCAATATCTTTAATAATTTCTTCCAATTGTGTTTTGTTTTACCAGAAAAGCAAATATCTCTTAGTTTTACTCTTTTTAAGGCAAAAAAAAGTGAGTTAAACAGAGATCGTATTTTAAAAAAATAAACTTTGAAATTGCTTAGTTCCTTGATGTTATAAATTGAATAATTTCAAAAAATGATAATCATAGTTTACACAAGTAGTTACTTAATAGTCACGGTAAAGTTTATGTAAATAGATCACAGGCCATAAATTGCCCTAAATTAAGCTGAGATTTCATTTGTGGCACCTCTTGATATTCTTTAAAACGATAGTTACAGGTGCTGGTCCAGTGGAGTAGTGGTTCAGTTCGTGCGCTCTGCTTTGGCAGCCAGGGGTTTGCAAGTTTGGATCCTGGGCACGGACCTAGCACCACTTGTCAAGCCACACTGTGGCAGCAGCCCAGATAAAGTAGAGGAAGACTGGCAGAGATGTTAGCTCAGTGACAATCTACTGCAAGCAAAAAGAGGAAGACTGGTGGCAGACGTTAGCTCAGGGCCAATCTTCCTCACCAAAATAATAATAATAATAATAATAATAATAGTTACGTTGTCTTGGTTGATGTAAATAAACATTTCAAAAAAAGAAAGAAAGCAAGGGAGAGAAAAAGAGCCTCATGTTTGAAAAATAGGGAAAAATAAAGAAATTAGTGGAAAACTATTTAAGAAACAAATAATAATTGGACCATAAAAATGTAAAAGACTTTGATCATCACTTACCGTACTCCCTCCATTTGCAGATGACCGCCACAGAGCTTCATGTAGCTGCCCCTCAGCTAGTCCAGAGCAGAATGCTAACTGCAGGCAAACTGGTCTCACAACTCAGGTTCAGCCCATTCCACCAAATAATGATCTATCAGGGGTAGAAAACATACTCACGGGCTAAATATGCAACATAATTGAGTAAAAATATCAAATGCACATTTGTATCACTTTGTAGATGGACAGAGCCATTCAGTTCTCTAAATACTAGAAAAAAAAGATAAGAATATCTATTTTAAAATCAATGATTAAACTTAATTCTATCCTTGAACCTAAGAAATCTATAAAACTTTCTCTCACGTCTTCCTTCTCTTTTAAGGCAAACTTCAAAGTCAGACTTCATGCTAAATGTATCATGCAAAATTTGAGTAAAAACACCATATGTGTTTGATCCACCTTTTGGAAGTTAGTCCTAATGGCTGGTAATTGTTTCTGGGCTCCTTAATGGACCACTCTTGCAAGGAGTGGCTCTTCCTACCGAACGCTTAGTGAACGAAAACATAATGGGGATGGTGGGTATTGGGGACAGCAAATGCAAAGGAAGGAACATTGCTGACTGCATTTGTCTATTACTCAAGTGGCACAGCCAAAAATGTCAGCATATAATTTTGTTGATTTCTTAAATAATGTTTTGATATTTCATTTAATTCTGGCAACATTTCAATAATTGAATATCATTTGCTTGTTTAAAAATATTCTCCTAAGCCCATGCTACAAGCAGGAACAACGAAAGGCACTAGGATGAATAAAACACTGACTAAGACAAACGCAGGCCCTGATCCAAAATAAATCAGAGATACCTGTGACTTTAAAATTCAGATGTAAATATTTTGGTAGCTATCATGGTTATCAAAACTGTCATCATTGTCATCGTTGTTTTTGTAGTTTTCATTGCTAAAAATTAATATCGAAAGCTCTAATTAATGAAGCAAGAATAAGAATTCAAAATTTAAACTTTTTATTTCAAGAACCTGTTTGTATTTTCTAATTTAATTTTAGTAATACATTTTGTTCAGTAATCAAGTATGCTTTGATTTTAGCTTGCTATTCTTGATTTTGACCACCATGTGGCAGCCTTGCATAAGGTTTCAAATTTCACAGCTTGGACTAACTTTATGAAATTAAATACATTTTCCCATGTTTATGTCTAAGATGTGCAATTATAGGTGATTTTAAAATTTCTCCTTTATACTTTTTCCAATTATGTTCATATAATTATCAGGAAAAAAGTAACTATACATTTTTGAAAATGTGCATTTCAAGAATTTATAGTGAGCACCAAAAAAGTAAAAATAACATTGCCATTATGTTTAAAGATCCGGCTTTATGTAAATCTATTCTGAATTAATTAATTTAAAAAATGTGGCTATTAATTTTAAAACTGTAAGTAAACACTTAACATTAATTATAGAAAGATACTAAGTGGTTAAATATATCTAATCTACCTGTCGTGTAATTTATTCTTTTGTTTATTCAATAAATGTTCAGAGTATTATATTGTTACGTGATCAAGATCAGTAAATGTTTCATTTGAACTTGAATTTGTGCATATGAGGATGTTTAGAATATATATGAATCATACATTTAATAAATTTGAAGGTTTGATACAATCAACTATTAAAGTAGTTTATCTGGCATTCTTTTATTCTTCCAAAGTTATGTGGCAAATGCTCACGTAAATTTTTGAAGTCCACCTATAAAATAGCTTCTATTTTCATTTTCCAATTTAATGCCTACTTACTGCCTTAGAGTAAATCAAAGGGTAGAGTCATTTCTATTTATCAATTTAATTTATAATCCCTCTTGTTCTAGAAAATACTTTAGATTATCTACCAAAAAGTCCATATTTGTAACGTATAATTTTATTTCTCTCCCATGGTGGTGCCTAATCTGCAAAAATTATTTTTTTCGATAGCCACCTAACTTTTGACATCTACTTTGAGTCATTTTCTTTCAACCATGTGACAACATTTTTCCTGTCAGAGCCGTTATCTTAGTTACTTAACCACATGAGTTTCTTAAACTTTCCAATTCTGGTTATTGCTGCTATGCTTTTTTCTGATTCTCTTATTACAAATAAATGTTAAAATTGTAATTCAGCAAGAAGTTATTGTAGGTCTGTTTCAAATTCATAAATTCCGTATGAATTGTTCAGAGGCTGTGCCACAATGAGACCTGGACTCTAGGCTCCATTTTTTCACTTCTTATTCTGTAACTCTCAGCCAGTGATTAAACCTCTCTAAGCCTCAGATTTCCCCCTCTGTAAAATTTTATTAATAATTCACTTAATTCTTTCAGCTTGCTTCATTGGGATTTGCAAAACTGGTTACTTCATAGTATTTTTGTGAGAATTCAATGAGAAAGAATGCCTATAAAGTGCTTGGCACAAGATCTGGCATATTGTAAGTGGTAATTATTAATAGTCTTTATAATAGAGCAATCATTCCTCATTTAAAATTCCAGAAGCTTTTGCCAGATAGTTTTTCCTGGTTACAGATCTCATTTTTCATAATTTAGTTCTTGCCCTGCTGGCTGTACTGACTACCCAGTCTGAGACAAGAAATTCTCGGCATTTCCTTGCTGAGGGCAATGGAGAGGCAATGTTTATGAGTGCTTACTGTTTGGCCAGCATTGGTTTAAATGCTTTGAGCGTGTTTCTCAGTTGATCTCCACAGCAGTCCTCTATGGAGCACATATTTTTGTGATTCTCTCAATTTTCAAGATGAGGAAACTGAGGGTTAGAAAGATTAAGTGCTTCCCCAAAGTCATTGTACAACTTGGTCGTGGCAGAAGGAGGATTTGAAACCAGGTGGTCTGAGTGCAGCCCCCACGCTCTTCACCATGGCAGTTTTTAATTCATTGGTTAGTATTCATGTCTATATCTATTTGAAT